ATTTTAACTATAGTGCACAAATAACCATATTCAATACAACTTTCATATCAATCTTCTAGGAAAATAATTTTAATCATCTATATGTACTATTTGTTTTTTGAAATAAATCATCCATATGTACTATAAATTAGGAAAACAAACAAAAAAGAAAAGCAAGCTCCGCTACTTACCTGCAAAAGACAGTTACATTCAACTTGCTTCCTAGATGCAGCACCACACCTATTTATGATGTTCCTGTAGTACAGCTTTTCAACAGCAACAATTTGAAGCTGATTTAGATTATTGAATCCAGACTGCTTGAGTTTAAGATACTTGTCGGGATGGAGAGTATAGAAATAACGCTGGGCATAAGGAAGAGCCCAGTTGACTAAAGACATTTTAAAGCAACTGTCTGTTCGACCTTCATATATTGCTTCACGAGTTACAACCTGAATAAAGAAAACATGAGCACCAGATAAAAGATGAAAAGATATGAATAGCAAATAGTATATGAAAACTGATGCGTATTAACAAGCACCAATTTTTTCCTATTATTACATGAAAAATATAGAAAAAACAATCTGAGGCACAGGAGATAATCTCAAGAAATCATCTCAACGACATGAACACCAAGAGTGTTTATATAAGTGAAATTATGAGTGATAAAAATGACTTTTCAGGAACATGAGTCTCTGGAAGTCGTTTGAAATGCTGAAATAACAAAATTTTGATATAAACCTCCTCTATATAATTTTTTCCTTGACAAGACATATTCTTTCTACAGCCTAACTTTATTCATCCATGCATATATCTTCGGAGGAGAGGAAGATAGAGAGTACCTCTGAAAGAACAGGTATGTCTAAGGCATGCATCAAATCCAAGATTTTACTTTGAAGCACTTCCTGCTCTTCATCACTAAGTTTGCCAAAATTGAGAAAATCAATATTATCTTTACGCCTAAATATCTTCTTCAACTTTTCATCGTCACTCCAGCATACAAGACCAAAAGAATGATGTAGAGAAACCCACTTATCTTGCTCAGTGGGAAGTACCGTGAATTCCAACTTTGTAAGACAATCTTTCAAGTAAAGAATATCTTCAGAACATTGTCCAGATTTAAGTCCATCAGCCCACTTAAGAAAAACTCGGAAAACCTAGGACATGGAAGAAACGATTACTGGACAAAACCCATAAATCAAATACTAGTCATATTTCTAGTTTAGTTACTTACAGAACTAGCAGCACAAGAAGGCAAAGTATTACGTGATAACTCCAGCACTATTCGAAGATAGCCACGGAATGAAGGCATCTCCAGTACACTGCATTCTTTGACAAAGAAGTCATGAAATCCAGGGTAAACATCGCACAAGGTCTTGCTACATAATGGCTCAGCAATGAGGCCGCATTGACGATGGATCTCTTTCAATTGATTTATACTGCCAGTTGAATCATGCCAACATACTTCTCCAACAGATAAAAATACACCAGAGACCACATCCTCATGTCTAATGCCAGATTCACACGGAACAAATATAGAAGGAGAAGAATGGAACTTCTCAATAATCCTCTGCTTTGAAGTAGATATTTCATTCCAAATAAATCTGTAAAATCTGGTCATTTGCGAGATGCTGGCATATATAAAAAGGAATCATCATACCAGTTAATGAGAATCATCACGGAAGGATCAAAGTTAAAACAACAGACCAAAATCTTATAAGAACAAGTAGAATATTGTCTTTTATTTAATTCCTCGATGAAACACTCTGTATTTTTTTAATGATCACCCCCTTTAAGATAGCGAATATCTTGCCGAGCTCATTGACATTTTGTCTATTCCTTTTACAAAAATTCCTTTATAAATGGGTGCAACCTCTTGATTCCCCATTAATACTACATCTTTTCCTCTCTCTGACTATTATTTAAAATAGATACTGCAAAACTTCCTAGATATTTTTCGGTATCAAGTAAGAAGACAACTTATTTCAAGGCGAAATGCTTCGAAATAGAAAAGAAAGAGAATTAAATCAGTGTATGCGTGTTGGGGGTGTCTTTATTTCATAGAGAAGAATCCATTCTGTTATTAATAAACCAGTAAAGGGGAAAAGCACAACTGAAAGAAAGAATCAGTTATTCATCAAAGTTTCATTCATTCAATGACTAGAACAAAATACATAAGTATAGCTGAAGGACATAGACAGAAATCTTATATACGGCAAACCTAACATCTGAAAAGCTTATGAAAAAAATCCTCTGTTGCTGCAATACAGACTCCCTGCACAATATATAGGGACAAGCTCACATAAAACCTGTCTATGCTTTCATGCATTGCAGTATAAAGAAGAAAGCACCTCAAACACCATATCATGGAACAATCAAAGTTGAAATGCAGAATGAAATCTTATACAGAATAAGCATAAGAACTATATTGCACACAAGCCTAGCATCAAAAACAACTGACATAGCACTGACACCCTAGTTGATGCATTCCCTTTGGACAATACACAGAAACAAGGTCACACAGTGTCCATAAGCTCTCATAAAATAGTTGAATATACTACTGTCCTGCATGTCTAAGTTGGTGTTTGATTTATTGAGTGCTTATAAACAGTTTTGAGTATCTTTTTAAATCTACCGAACAAATGTAATAAACAGGTCTTTCTAAGTCCTAAAAGCAGCTTTAAGCAGAAAAAAAAGTCCTCCCCTTAACTTCTTCTATGTTAACTATAAAAATACTTATTTTCTAATACTTATTTTCTAACATATCCAGTATTTAGTTACAAGTATAAAAAGTCCTCCCCACACATTTCACTGTACACCTCAAAATATGTACCACTGATCTCAAGTTATTGTCAGTGTGGAATGTAAGTTGTCAAACTTCCCTTGTTGCAGATTAGCCTTAAATTCAAACCATTCTCTAATAATCAAAAACCCCACAGCAATCAACTTTTCACTGCTTCAATTCCCAAGCTATGCTTTTATATAGCCGTTCGACAGATTTGAACCATATATGAAATTGGTTATTCACAGCTTTGTAGTACTTGATGCATTCTAGCCATCTGAACACATGCAAGCAGCACACATACTGAAAATCATGTCTCCTGGTTGTTTCTTTTGTATCTCTTGCAAAGAATGGAATCCGGGAACAAATGGATGTCTTGAATTTTAGTTGTGTAACAACAGCCTCCCCTGTTGTGATTGCGAATGGTGGTTTGCCTCTGCTTTTTTATTTTCCACTTCCTCTTAAGGATTAAACCCTCTTTAGCCGCCATCTTCACAAAACAAAAAAACACACACACACACACACATACACACACAACACCCTACCTCATACCTTCTCAGAACGCCTGCATCTTTCCTTTTCACTAAAAGACACCAAATCTCATATTTTCTTCCTCAAAATCCGCAGCTTCTCTGTTTTCAGAAACCCAAGGGGTATTCCAGCTAGTTTGAGGGTCAGATGTAACGAAACCAACTATAGCTCAATTTATTTCCATATTCCTTTCTCTCAATATAGCATATCAAACTGTGCATCACAATGAATACAGGAGATTTGGAACCACAAGCAGATCAAAGGGTAGATGAACGAGGAAGTACCAGTCCAAGGGAGAGAAGGTTGGGATTGTTTTGAGGTGTACAGTAAAATGTTTCTTCCCTCTAAAATCTAAATGATTGGAAATTGACAAGTGAAACCATCATCCTATTCTTCTAGTTCTAGTTTTTCCTTCATTGTTTCTTCAATGTTCTTTCCACCTCTTCAGATAGCTTTAAAGTTGTTGTGACTCCATTTTGTGAGGACATTTCAAATTTTGCTTTTGGCTCATTAGTTTAGAGATTTATATACCTATTCAAAGAAATTTTTTTTTTAAATAAAAA